CTAAGATATGAAGATATGAACATTATCTTTATTGTATTGTACTATTGCCAGTTGTTTACAATAATTTAATTTGAGCTATTAATACTTTACACTAATAATTAATATAAAAAATTACAAATTACAAAAAAAAACACAGATATTATTCTTGTCTTTGCGATTCACCAACTGTAAATTCATTCTAATTTTAAAGCCAACAACACATAAATGGAACTGTTAAGCACACTATTTACATTACTATGACTGGAATAACCAATCAGGAACTATGCCTTCGTAAAAATACAATTCTAGCAGTCGTATATCTAGGTATATAAATTACGATTTATACTGTTGTTATTTCTATCTAGAGCCATAGTCAATGCATAATAGGATAAGTTACATATTTCATGATACCCTTGATATAAGGTCAAAATCAAATTATGCTCGGTTGGATATACATCACTATGTATATCAGCAGTTCCCAATACATGAGTTGAGAAAGCTGGTCAAGTGTCTGAACATTTTAATTGGAATCAGCATTGAGATTTTTATACATTTCTTCTATTGTCTTAGATGTGTATTTATATTTCATACATATATGTTCAGKGRCGCCAAGAGAAGATTTTGCCCCAGAAATAAATGGGTGGGTGGCTATAATGTTAAGAAAAATAGGGTCCACAGAATARAATAATAGATCCTTAACTGTCTATATTTTTTTGAAGAGTATTATTTTTGTTTTGTAAGTGGATCTGGTGGATGGGTTTATTGACTAAATATAAAATTGTCATAGGTGTTTCAAAATACATCAGCTAGCAAATTAATATATTTTATAAAATTATAACCTTTAAATGTTAAAGTTGTTCCTGTATATTAGTAATTAAATGCTACAAAATGTATCATCCATAGTACTTAAGAGAGTTGTAAATACATACAAAAAAACATTGACATTCAAAATACTTCATAGGAATGTATCTTAAAAGATATATAGCAAGCTAATGTTATAATATGGTCAATAATGTTGTTTTGTAAATTATCCTAATAATAGGTAATCAGAAACATTATTCATAAAAATTTGATATATTAATTATTAGATTCAAGGTAACGGTAATAGCATAAAAATAATATGTCTATATCAGACATAATGTCAGTTAACAACTCAAAAGAGCTAATATTATCAAAATTTATTATAGGAAACAAAATTGTATTTTTGGAAAAAATGCAGTATTAAGAACATACATAATATGTATATATTATAAATTATCACAATGATGTAAAAAATGGTGATTAAAAATGCTACTTTGATTTTTAAATATATTAAATTTACCAYAACTTAATATCATAGTTTTTATTCATACCTACTATAATATTATAAATTTAAATTAAAAGAATGTTGCCATCATCACCAGTTTTTGCATTACAGCAACAGTATATAATATATTGAAAAATCATTTATAAACCATGTTGAGTGAATAAACAGAATTATATTTAATTATTTATGATTAAAATGTTTGTATAATATATATTATACACCAATATTTTAACTGAAAAGCACAATATCAAGTAAAAAGTTAACTTTTATATAGATTTTCAGTTAATTTATATCAA